CCCACATCTGCCCTGAGTATATTGTGGTTTTCAAGCTTCCTGCTAAATCTAAAGGTACTTTCAATGATTTACTAGGAACATCTGTTTACTATGCTATGAATCTTCCAGCTAGAGTTTTTCTTCTTCATCTTTGCTGCAGAGTTATTATTTGGAAAAGAAAGTGCATCCAATGAAACTGGGGTCACATGTGGACCTTCGCCTGTGTCGAAGGTCTGTCTCTTGTCTGCTTTTATTATTTGGGATGCAATTTTATGACAGAAATGCAATAAATATACCTTTTTTTTGTGGATAATTTTACTAATTTTACTAATTTCATGCAATTCACGTGGGCTCAATGCTCAATGCGTTTGTTAATCCTAATCTTTCAAGCAATGTTTTCCCATTATTTTTTAGAAGTGTCAACGCTTATCTTTCCGGCATAGGGTTAGTAAAGAAAGATACATTAAGTTCTCGTTTTTCTTTTTTCAGGAAGGAAATGATAATTCGTTTGTAATACCAGCTAACCAATCCCAAGGCAAGGACCAAGAGTTTGGTAGAGTCCCTAAGCCAACTTCTCCTTGGATGCCTTTTTCAATGCTGTTTGCTGCAATTTCAACCAAAGTTCCTGCTAAAGATGTGGATCTTGTCAATAAATATTATGAAGAATTCAAGGTGACTTTTTGAACATTAGTTTTATCCTCTAGGGCATTTGGGCTGTATAGATGATCTTTTTTTCTTTTAACCAGAGAAGAAAAATAAACAGACTTGAACTTGTTAAGAGGTTGAGGCATATCATTGGAGATAAACTACTGATATCTACCATAGCGAGGCTTCAATACAAGGTGATTTATTATTATTATTGTCATTATTATTATTATATTGTTGTTGTTGTTGTTCGGATAATCTAAAGAGCTATCATTTCACTCTTTGCTTCACTGCTTCTGTTCCAATTTGCAATATCATGGGAGGTGTCATCGACATCATCTTTTAATTGTGTTAATTTCATTATTTAGTAATTATTGATGCCATGCTGATTCTTTGTCACACATTGGTTGAACATTCATTTGTTCTCCTTTCTTTTCTTTTGATCAACATGTGGA